GCTCAAGTTTGTAAACGAATTTTTTAAAGAATCCACATTTGTGAAGAAGTGTTATTTCCCACAGATTTCCCATAGATTATTTCAAATTTGAAATTTGGAATTTCCAATTTAGACCAGTGCAGAAGCCTTTAAAAATGGTAAAAAGATAAAAAAAATTACAGTAGGATGAAACCCATTGGAAAAGAAGGGGAATATAATAAAAATTAAAGGAAAAATAAATTACGGGCGATCTGAGTTCGGGAAGTGGGAGGGGGGGGGTTTAAGGGTAAAAAATGGTTTATCTCGATTTCCGGCAAAACTACAAGTCCTATGGAAAAAAGTTAAATGTCAAAGTTGTAGGTAATAAAAAGATCTACAACTTTTGTATTTACAATTTTTTCACATAACCTCAAAATTTATGTGAAAAATTCAAAAAACCAAGTTTTTGGTTTTTTATTTTTATCTTTTTAAAAAAAAAAATTTTTTCCACGAAATTTGGTGAAAACTTACCTTTTTATGTCCCAAATACACTGTAATTTATTTGATTTGAAATATTTATTATTTCGCCTTATTTTGATTTAATATCAAAAAAGCACCCTAATTTTCAATCGAAAATTCTCGCGTCAAAATATCAGCTTTTTTCAAAAAGTCGGTGTGCTTTTTGTTCGATGAACTCTCTACTTTCTGATGCTGTAAAAAAATATATACATTACTATGGCAAATGTTCTCAGAAAATACAAATAATATTATAATGAATAACGTAATCAGAATGAAGTATCTAAATTCAATAGTATGATTTACATCTATTTTTAAATTTTATGAGATTTTCTGACATAAATGTTATTAGAATTTAATAAGTCAACTTTTTAACTAAAAAAAATTGCAACAATCCCATTTTTTTGATGAAATTGTACATAATGATTAAAATAAATTTTCGAATTCGAGTTTTTTTCGTTATTCATTATAACATTTTTTGCATTTTCTGAGAACATTTACCATAGTAATGTATTTTTTACACCATCAGAAAGTAGAGATTTCAACGAACAAAAAGCACACCGACTTTTTGAAAAAAGCTGATATTTTGACGCGAGAATTTTCGATTGAAAATTAGGGTGCTTTTTTGATATTAAGTCAAAATAAGGCGAAATAATAAATATTTCAAATCAAATAAATTACAGTGTATTTGGGACATAAAAAGGTAAGTTTTCACCAAATTTCGTGGAAAAATTTTTGTTTTTGAAAAAGATAAAAATAAAAAACCAAAAACTTGGTTTTTTGAATTTTTCACATAAATTTTGAGGTTATGTAAAAAAATTGTAATTACAAAAGTTGTAGATCCTTTTATTACCTACAACTTTGCCATTTAACTTTTTTCCATAGGACTTGTAGTTTTGCCGGAAATCGAGATAAACCATTTTTTACCCTTAAAACCCCCCCCCCCTCCCACTTCCCGAAGTCAGATCGCCCGTAATTTATTTTTCCTTTCATTTTTATTATATTTTTCTCGTTTTCCAATGGGTTTCATCCTACTGTTATTTTTTTTGGTTTCAAAAATTATCGACCCTGGTCTAATTAGAAATTTGGAATTTTAAAATTCCAAACTCGAAAAACTGTTTCACATCTTTATTTTAATTTGACAATTGTTTCGCTAGCACATTAGCTTATTAATTTATTATTTTAATTATAACACAACTCTCATAAAGAGCGTTAAGGCGCCATTTTTAAAACACACTGTATATAACTTCTATTCAATTTTATTATATTTGGTATTTAATATAATTTTGTTTGCTTTGACACAATCGTTATTAAAAAAAAGTTAATAAAGATAAAAATTTTAGTAAAGGAATTTTACAGACTTTATAAAGGAAAGAAATATTAAAAAACATTTTGCAATATAACATAAAAACAAAAAGATAAACCATAAATTCAAAACGTCTTACGAAATTCACAATTAATTTTTCACGTTATTTATAAAATAAATAAAATTTCAAGCGTCAGTTCGCCTAGAACATTCTAATCTCCTCCATTTAATTTGGCCTATCAGCAGCACATTCGTTTAGCATTCTTATCAATGAACCATGCACAATATCTTTGTTAATTTCAATTTTGAACCTCGTGTTTCAACGTTAAAACCAAAGCGTATCGTTTGATTTCCTTATACTGTTTTAAACTTACTATGACCCGTAACAATGCATAATAATGATCTCATTAGAGGTCGAATTCTAGGCAAAATACATTAATCCCAAGTATAAAATTCCTATGTGAATTTTTAGCATAATTTAATCCAATTTAATTCTTGCCTATTTTTTTTTTTGGCGTTTTTATTAAATTACTTTTTTAAAACTTTCCTCATTATTAAATTGTTTTTACAATTGTATACATTATAATATTATGATAATATATATTATATATATTATATTAATATTATGACATTTTATCTATATACGGACTAAAAAATTACATTTTTTATTGGAGCTTTCTCATATCTGGATAATGTTATTGTAGATCATATGTATACGAGGTGTGTTCAGAAAATATCGGGAATTTTGGTTTTTTGAAACCAATATTTATTTATTCGTCTACATTAATGGCCTTTGTTAACATTTCACAGAATTTATTTCATTTTTTAAGCAAAATTGGATACAAATTCTTTGATCCATTTCTTTTAACGAACGAAAAATCGCCCAGCTCATAAAACACGTGTAACCTTAGCGGCTGCCACAGACAAATTAAACAATGAAAACAGCTAAAGTTTTTATCATACTTCGGGGGCATATATACCAACATAATAAAGAAAATTTCATGACAACCGGACCCTCCGAACCCGTAAAATTTAACAATTCCCGTTATTTTCTGAACACACCTCGTATATATAGTAATAAAACAAATTAAATGATAAAACATTTTCTTAAAATAATCATATTTTGAAGTTATTTTAATATTTTAAAGTATCAATAATTGTTAAGTTTAATTAAAATTTATAACGGGCAACGTTAATTGTAACAATTACTTCCAAATTACCAATTTATACAAATATTTAATTTAAATCATTTTTTAGATAAATTTAAGTATTTGTCGTGGAACAAGTATAGTATGCAACTCGTTTATAAACTTTTCTAGACACTCGCTCAGGTCGCTTGTGCCTAATTTAAATTCGTGACTTAAATGGCTTTTATGAAACTTGATACATAATATAATGCTTGTATAATAGCGCCAAAATAAAAAATTGTACAAGAGGAGATGAAAAAGTTCTGTTTTTTTTAATATTTAATAGTACTTAAGTAATAATTATTTACGAAAACGGTTTTAAATTCCCCTCTAAAATTTTTAATTTATGCTTTGTTTGAAAGATTTTAGTAAAATTTGGGTTGTGAAAAGTAAAAAAGCACATATTTTATCAATAAAAATGTCTAAACAGGTATACTAGGGGCATATGTGCGCCAATGACTTTTCACAATTTGTTAGAAATTTAAATTACTAAAAAAGCATCTCCTAATATTTTATTAAAGTCGGCTTCGATTAGAAGAAAATTTTATCTAGTATGCTATGGCCGATTCTAAAAAACAAATGGATAATTTGTCTTTTGTATTAACTTGTTAGAGGGAAATTTGGAAAACACAATCAACAATATGTAAAACTATATATAGTTTTACATATTGTTGATTGTGTTTTCCAAATTTCCCTCTAAATTAGTGTTTACTGATATAACACTCAGATCTATCGAACACAACATCTACGAACCAATGTTAATAATTAATAATTTGCCTTATTTCTGGGTTAGAAATCACCACACGAGCAATGGTACATGTTTTATTAAATACCCTGTATAAAATATAATGAATTAACTTTTTTTCCAAAAAGATAAAGTACACGTAGAAAGGATGAATAGGGATAAAAAAATATCTAATAAGAACATGAATAATATAATAAATATATATAATAAAATAAAACTGTGATTCACTTAATAAGATATACCTAAGGGCGTTTACAAACATTAAAATTTAAACTTGTAATTAATAGATTACGCCTAATGTAATTACATTAGGCGTAATCTATTTAATAAGACTTAAAACAATATAAACAAAGTAAACCTATTATTTATAAGTTTAAGTACATAATGTTTAAACAATAGTTTCATTAAGAATTAATGTTTTGTCTCAAAAAAAGCATTTTAAAATTTTTGGGATTTTACTTAACATTACCCCATAGACAATGTATGACAGTTAAAATTCAAAAGTATATTTCTGTAGACATTCCTAGAGTGAATATTGTGATTTGTATCCTATGTTTGGAGAATACAAGAGTCCTTCAGCTTGTTTATGTGTGTTTGTGTCAGTTTAATGTTAATATTTGTTTAGTTTTTCTTCATAGATTAAATTTTAATTCAAGGTTTTTTAGTTCCTGAGAGGGAGCCCCTGTATTTGCTCTTGTCCAGTCTAACATAAAATAAATAACCTCTTACTTAAAGTAACTAATTTAGTCAATTCATTTTCACTTTCTAATAGATATTTGCCATGTTGCCATTTAAAAAAATTAATATTTTTTTAAATAATGAGGTTTTTAATTATTTTCTGGGACTCCTGGGGGTCTGTAGATCATACACCTTCAAGGTGGTGCGCAACTTTTTGGGATACCCTGTATGTTACTTACTGAAATGGGCTAGCGGTTACTCTTAATTAATTGTTCTGCTGGCTACTATTACAATATTATATTACCAAAATATAAACTAAATAAATAAAATTTACTTAATATCAAATAAATGTTCAAGTGCTTAAAAGTCCGGTCTTTAGTTATCAGTATTTATCCTACATGGCCTCTGTTATCTACTTTAATATTAACTCGATTCGTATTTTGAACCACCAAGTATTTTCAACTCATGACAAGCCCAATCAAAAAGTCACACACAAAATTAAAGTACAATGTAGCAGGTACTTATTGAATATATTCAATGATACAATGATGAATTATAAACATGGTTAAATCCCTGCCAAAGCTGTTGTTTCATGGGTCCAAAATTTTAGTTAAATCCGTCCTAAAATCCATTCACGAAGAAATGGAACTAAGCAGGCAAGCCGCTAAAGTAAGATACTCGAACGACGCAGAGCCCACTCTGAATTTAACTCACGATATATCTCTAAGCGAAGCCAAGCGGATTATTAACGTAGAAAACATTGAAAAAGAAGAAATTGACAAAAAGTACGAATATCTGTACAATGCTAATAGCCCCAAAAAGGGTGGTTCGTTTTATTTACAGTCAAAAGTTTTCAGAGCCCGAGAAAAGCTTTACCAAGAACTGAATTGTTTATCCAATAAAAAAGTGCATGTCTTAAAATAAAATTATAATGATTGCAACTTTTTTGTATTGTTGTAATTATATTTTTATATTATGTTATTTTTTAAATCAGCAGGTGTTAATCATGAAAATTAGGTTTCGAACTAAATATTATATAAATTAACATTACAATTTCAATGTTTGGTTATAACCCTAATAAATAAATGAAAAAAACGCAGAATTAACAAAACTATTAATATAATCTTTGATATAAAAAAACATTCAAATTGTAATGTTAATTTATATACCTATAGGTATTCGTTTTAAAGGAACCTTTCATTTTTGTTTCACTCCCCCAGCAAAATATTGATGTACCTATGAATTTTATGCATCATCTGATGCATAAAATTCATAGGTACATCAATATTTTGCTCTGCTCTGGAGCTTTTTTGTAGAGCGTTAAATTCTCTACAAAAATATCCATGTTCCATTATTGTCGGTATATTTGTCAACGACTTAAAATTTTAATAAAATTGCAAAGAGCAAACACAATTTGTCACTTCGATCACAAAGCGGACCACCAGCTCAAATTTTTATTAATTTGAAAGCCCTTAAGCCTGTGGGAGCATAATATTAAAAAAACACCACCTTAATATATATGAGGACAGTGTACATAACTACATTATTTTTTAAATGTAAATGGTACATTTTACTTGGTGTCCAAGGGATATAACTGAACTCTAAGTGTTGAAAAACCAAGTCATAAAACATCAAACAATTTTGACTCCAAATTACAAGTGTTTTTCTACTTTAAACATACTAAAATATGTTCAATTGTGTTTATTTTGAGATGAGAAAATTTAAACAAGTATTACATATTTAGCCTTATACATATAAATTCATATAAAATATATCTACATAACAAAGTTGAGACAAAAAAAAACACTTTAAATATCAAATATATGGCAAAAGAAAAACCCAATAATATTATAAGGAAAGATAAATAAATTAGGTATTTATAGTAATACTCATTATTTGAACATTACATGAAAAAATATCAAATCTGTCTTGCAAATAATTGTACTTGCCACACATGAAGAAAAGGGGTGAAAAATTTAATATGTTTGTTTTAGGTGATGGCAGGTAAAATGTAAAATTATTTCTAGATGTAACCCGAGGAAGTCTAAAATATAGTTTACTTAAGAGATAAGGGCAGTCTGTACTATTATTTAGAAGTTTAAACAAAAATACTACACAGTAAAAAAAAGCTTCACACTAGGCTTCACTAGAGAACACTAGTTATTATAGCTTGAGCTGGTCCACTTTATTAGAGTTCAAATCTTAAATTTAGTGTGAATTTTAGTGTTGTTTTAACTCTAAAGGTTGTACTCTTATATTCTAACACATTTAACACAGTTCGTGCGACTTCATACACTATTTGATTGAAAATTACTACACTATCCGTGTTCGGTAGCTCTCTAAAAGTGTTCACTTTAACTAATTTATTTGCATTTGTTTCACTTTGTTTTTACGTTACAAATAATCAAACTACAATATTTGGCAATTCCTTTATATAAATAAATACAGTCCATTGTAAGATTTACGCTACAAAATATAATATAATAATCTTTGGCAATTTCTTAAAATATAAATACGTTCAAAACACCAAATAATATTTTGGCATAAAGTACCAATTGACACTGTTAGATTGGTGTAAATTGTATGGCTCTTTGTAAAGCAAGCTTAAAATCTCGTAGTTTTATACAGTTAACCAATTCTTACCCATTTTGTGACTAAAATTTCTATAGAATCGGGAAATTCTTATATATAATTATATACCAAATTTTTGCAGTGATAATCTCAAAATAAAACTTTGAAGGTCCTCTTTGCAATTCAGTGCAAAAGTTGTCATCATAAAATGCCATCTGCTGGTATTGCACTGCTAAGGTTTTTGCTAAACTTTTAAATTTTTTAAACTTGTCATCATGGACATGTTTTACTCTCAGGAAAGACATCTAAAAATTAAAAAAAACTGATTTACTTATTATATGACCTATTGTAAGAACTGTACTTAACATTTGTGTGTACAATAAACAAAACGCGATTTTTACGCGATTTTCGACCTTATGAACCAAAACAAAATACAATTTTTGACATTATAAACCATGATTAGTAATAATACTTTGAAATTGACTTACCTTTAGTTAATAATTATAAACCAAAACCAAACAGCTTGGTGCATTCTTCCAACACAAATTCTGAGAGAACAATGAACGTAACAAGTTTGCGTTTTTGTCAACTGAACACCCCCTGATTGCATATTTACAATAATGTCCCAGTGAACCAAACCGTGACTTATGACCTAAAATTTACGTAACACGTAGATCATATCTAGGTAATACAATTTTTACGTCATAGTGACATAATACTGACCCAAAACGTGACTTTTATATGATGTAATTAAATGACTTACATATTACGTACATCTTATGTAATATTAATGTCATATCGTGACGTAACATTAAAGTCACTTTTCTTACGTAAGACTGACATAAGAAATCTGTCATAATATTACATAACTTTTAGGTCACTGTTTTACGTAAGACTGACGTAATAAATCTGTCATAATATTACCTAAGTTTAAGGTCACTTTCTTACGTAAGGCTGACGTAAGAAATACGTCATACTATTACATACGTTTTAGGTCACTTTCTTACGTAAGACTGACGTAAGAAATCTGTCATACCATTACATAAGTTTAAGGTCACTTTGTAAGGTAAGACTGACATAAGAAATCTGTCATACATATTATTTAGACGAACTAGATGCAAAAGTAATTTCAAAGTATGAAATTCACTGTATTTTAATGTTTGAATTAAACTAATTTCAATGAATGGACTTTTATTTTCAATGAGTGAAATAGGCAAACATAATTTTTATTTTTTATTGATTGAAATGGTTATTTCCTATCATTGAGTAAAATAACGTAAGTAAATTCTATTAATTGAAATTGACGCCAATTATTTTAAACAATAAAATCAGTGGATACTTTTCCTTACCAGTCAGTTTAATTCAAACATTAAAATACAACAAATTTCATATTTTGAAATTACTTTTGCATCTAGCATGATGAAAGAAATAACGCGAAGTTCCTTGAATTTTTTGGCTACTAATTAGTACTTGGTCGATTAAATGAAAATATGGTTTAAAATCAATCAAAAAATAATGTATCTTAATTTAATGTGTAATAAACATTATATAGATTTTTATGATTCCGGTTCCTACTGCTTTATGACGTAAAAAATTTTGAAAATAGCGTCGTACTTTCAAAAGTACACATTTTATTCAATGGTCATTTGAAAAATCATAACCATGGTTGCAAGTACCTTTTTATTTTTTAAATTGTAAAAAATTATCAATAAAAGATTTACGTGTTATTACGTGTTAACGTGTTATTTTTGTATTGTATGTTACTGTTATTATTTTTTGAAAATTTTTGAAAATGGCGCTTTTGGTGAAAGTGGAATTTTTTTGTTCCACCCTGTACAATCGAGTAATAAAATAAGTAGTTGCGCTTTAAAAGACCTGAAATCATATTTCACTCACTTCAAATTTTTTTAATGTGACCTTGGCAGTACGACGTCTTTGTTTTTTTTTAATCCATGCATGTCAAAAAATTTTACCTATTAAAATACCAAAATTTTAAATTTCTAAAATAAAAATAATTTTTAAATGTTGAATATTGTCCCTAGCTATAGCTATAGCTACTCATAAAAAGCGATTTTTTTTGTTCTTACTTCTGACATACCGTGTAAAGAATCTGAAAAATTAGTAGTTGGTTCAAAATCCATTGTGAGTTGGTTTTGATCAGGTTCATAAATTAGATAAAGTATCAGCTTGCAATAAATACCTTTTCGATAATGATTCCATTTCCCATTGAAAAAAATGTGATTTTTTGACAGTACGACGCCATTTTAGAAATTTTTCAAAATTGATTTAAGTCAAAAAGTAGTACCCAGAGTACCCTTGTCTCTGGTAGTACCTATATATTTAATGCCTTGTTTAACATACTAAAATTTCAATTTCCAAATACAAAGGTTCAAAAAATAAAACTATAAAAAATAATACAACCAAATTTAAAGAATTTAGTATTATAATATAATATGGTATAATTATATATTAATATAATACCTATAATAATAGATAGGTATTTGCCCAATATTGTTGGTATTTGTATATTTTTTAAATTTAAAAAATGATAAATAAAAGAAATGAAATTGGCAAACGAAATTATTTAAGTACACTGAGAATATTACGTATTAAGAAACTAAGAGATTTTTAAAAATATATGTAAACTATTAGAAGAATTTTTCATTGATAAACAAATTTTATAATAATATTATAATATATAAGGGTAAAGTTGTCAAATAACATTGATATATTAATTGTTAGCAGTTGCAATATGCAGTAAGGTTGCCTATGATAAGAATGCATCTACTATAATATAGTAGAAATCTACTTATCATAGGCAACCATTATTGCATAATACATCTCGCTTATGTGGCACTATTCGTTAAGTATATAAGTTGACACTGGAGATTTAGGAATTCGAACCTCGGCAAATAAACAACTTGTTTATTTGCCGAGGCCACAATTTGTGACTTGTTTAAAACAAGTCACAAATTGTGGCCTACGAAAATTTAGCTTTTTCACTGGAATTCTTTGTTGGAGCCAGGATTGTTCCGTCGTCTAGATCGCCCGTGGCCCTCTGCTTAAACAGTGCCTGCTTTGCAAGGCCAAAGCCGCGAACCCATATGTTCTGTGCCCATAATTTTACTCATTTTACGTCAAGAGGGAACTGATTTCAGCCAAGTGAGCTGTTTCAGTATTTACTTATTTTGCCCTATGATGAAAAATAAGGAGGGGGCTTCGTCATTCTGAGGTCATATTTATGACACATTTATTACGTAAATATTATGTAATGGTATGATGTCAGTGTTACATCAAGATGTTTACGTCATATTTATTACGTCAGAGTCTGACGTAAGAAAGTGTGAAATAAT